ATGCGTGACACGCCACACAGGCGCGACGTGTCGCCGCCGGATGTAGCTATTGGAACGGGACATACATTCGCATATTTCGAATTTGAACGCCGGGACGGCATAGATAACTCCAATCGCGACCATGATACCAGCAAATACCCCCCACAGGGAATTTTTTACATAGAAAAATGGCGGCGAAAAATCGACGTCCGCGCATGGTCAGTTGTCCCGAATTGCCGGCAAGTTTATTCGGTTCGCGCAAAGTTCTGATTTCTCAATCGGAATCGCAATCAATGCCGCTCTCGCTGAGAAGTAATGTTCTCGCTGAGGAAAATATGACCTCAAATCGATTGGCAAAGAGTATCAAGGGATCGTCAATTATGGGACACCCTGCATATATAAGATGTCCGACGACAAATATGATGATTTTTATGGGTATATGTAGCACGCATCAATATAAAAGGTTGTTATATTTGCGAATGGTACAAATGATATGCAAATTTTAATAGTAATTATTTACTCTTACAATCAATAAGTAACTGTACAATTCACATGATACGATAAACCTTTCTTTTTAACCTCCTTCTTTTTAATTATGGGCCGGTTATTCCACATTCGGATAAACTATCTAATGGATAAATATCTGAGGAACGTTCCCGTATGAAAAATTATAATAACACGAAAATATCACTAATATATTACTGAAGAACAATAGGATATTAATATAATTTTTTTATATTCTCGTAATTTATTTCTTTACGAAAACGCTTTTCAGATATTTTTATCTGTTTGATAAATTATCACATAATTTACCCGAAAATAGAGCAACCAGCTCTAAATGCCATGTTAAATTTTATATTTATATTTTATAATTACTTTTATTTATAATTTTATACTTATATTCTTATATGTAATTTTATATGGATACTTATTGAAATTGTTAAAATAAAAATAATATTTTCAAAATCTTTTACAAATGTGCTCAATCGATTAAGTATCACAAGTATCACATTGTATGGACATATTCTTCCAATCGATTAAGTATCACAAGTATCACGTATGGACATATTTTTTCATTTTAGCATATCAAAACAAGTGAAGTGGCAGTATTTTTACTTGAAGTAATAATACAAATATTGTTACTCGAAATTGGCAACTCGCAGGAATGAATGTTTTACTTAAGCTTAGAGTGGATTCTGACTCCATACAAGTGAATGTTTCAATCGACTGGAATAAATATGTTTCTGAAATGGTGGTATGTTGTGTACTGAGTTTACAGTATGCTGGGATTCAAAACGGTTTGAACATTCTTTTTACGATGCAGTTTGGAACGCGATCGATGGCCCATTGAGTGAACATATTTTTCGAGAACGAGCTTTCTCATTGGACCATTATTTGTGTCCTGAACTGCATCAAACAAAAAAGTATAAAAATTGTTTTGAAATCCAATATAGAATGGACTCATTTTTCAATTTCGAGTGAAAATATTCGTTCGACGATTCAGAATAGGGAATTCACTTTATATTTACTCTATATCAGTAGAAAAGTAGAATGACAACGATGTTTATTTTATCGTTCGAATGCAATTTCATTTAAAAAAATTTAGAGAATAAGAAATATCTTCTTTATACTAAGCATTGAATTTAATAAAATAAATAAATTCAAGACATTTTAAGAACTGTACACTTTTTAAATATTCATAATTATAAAGTATGAATATTCATAGTATTTTATCTATTTTGTTTAATTCTATTGGGAGTACAAATTAGTTCGGTCCGTTTTTTGTGGTCAAAAATGCATTTATTTCAAAATAAAATGAATGAACAGATTAATCAAAGTATTGTCCATCGCTGGCTATTACTTTTTCCCACCTCCCAGACAATTTTCGAATTCCATTTCGAAAAAATGTCTCGTTTTTTGAGGCGATCCAAGTTAGGAGCCAATTTTCGATTTCTGCGAAAGAAGTGAACCGGTAACCTGTCAAATCGTGCTGCATCCGTCGGAACAAATAGTATTCAGAAGGAGCAATGTCTGGCGAATACGGCGGGTGCGCTAAAATATCCCACTTGAACGTTTCCAAATAATTTTTTACGACTTTTGCGACATGAGGCCGAACGTTATCATGCAGAAGAATAATTTTGTCATGTCTTTGCTCGTATTCCGGCCGTTTTTCTCGTAATGCACGGCTCAAACGAATCAATTGTAGCCTACACCGATGGCCCGTAATGGAATCGCCAGATTGTAGCAGAGTAATGCCTCCAATTTTTTGTCTTCGAATTTTTTTGGCTCTTCAGAGCGAGGCTTGTCTTCAACGCTGAAATCACCATTCTTGAAAGGTCGAAACCATTCTCTACATGATTTACCAGTTGGAGCATTGTCACCATAAACTTCTACAAGCATTCGATGCTCTTCAGCTGCACTTTTCTTCCAATTAAAGCAAAAAACTAAAACCTCCCGCAAATGCTGCTTAGTTAACACAAAATTTGACATATTCAACACATATTCAAAAAACAGGCGTTTTGTATGAAACTCAAAGCGATATAAACTGAATATTATTGACAGATGTCTAACCTCTCTGAAACCACCGAAATCAGCTGTCACTATGAAACATTCACAACAGCCAGAGCCATCTTTTGAAAACGAATCGAATTAATTTGTACTCCCAATAATATAAGAAAGAAACTACAGAAAAGATCGCAGGAAAATCGTTTGGTAGATTAAATAGAATTTGTTTGGGATTGCTATTTAGATTTCGTGTATTTGAAACATTATACTTCTAACCTGATTCTGCTTACATTCCCCAGAGTCTACAATTTTTTCAAAAAATCAGATTAGACACTTCCAATCAGATCCCAATTAGATCCGAAATTTTCCATATGAGTTTCTTTAATATGACAGAATCGTAGGTTTATATATGAATATAAATAGCTGCCGGAAAAATTAAAATCACCTGTGTTACTTCGTTATCGGATCAAGTTTGAGAGTATGTAACAGAACCAGGCAGGGTGCGATTTCAACGTTGATCAATTTCCAAATTTTCGTCGCGATTTTATTTTTTTACAACGACGCGCGTACAGCAATTTCGCACGACGATCATTATTCGAGCAGACGTCGTATGCGTATGCGCTCGATTTACTCTTTGATCTACTTTTTGAGTGAGATTTCATTCCAAGAAATTTAAGGGATAGAAGTTAATAAACAAACCCAAGACGTGTCTTCTGAATTATCTTTGTAGAACTCGTCCCAATTCGTCGAGCACTCGTTCGCCATCTTTCTTCCTTAATTAGTAGAGGAAAAACACTAAAACTGATGTAGATATGGAAAGTCGGCATACTTACATTGAGAAAAATTTCTATTGGATAAAGCGATTAAATGTATCCGATTATTTTTATTATCCTATTAAAATCAAATTATGGATACCTTTACCTGTTGAAGTATCTGATAAAGTTACTGATGAAACCTAATAGGGAAATTAATTGCCCTTTGTATATCCGTTGTAATTTTAATCAGAAAAAGGTACGATTTGATCGGATGAAATGACAAAATGATCGGATATTACACTTGGTCAGATATATCCGTTACTTTTTAATTAGATTATCCGATTAAATATGATCGAATATTTTTCTCAATGTATGTTTCTCGGCTATGAAATACACAAATTCTGTCCAACAGAAAAGTTAGAGTTAAGTTGTTCTGCACAAAGTGACATATCCGAATTAAAGGCCTATTCTCGGACAAATTTGCATTATTACATTATGATGTATATAAAAAAAGAATGTCTTCTATATTAGACACATAATTAGTCAATTTTCATTTGTATTTGCATTATGTGCCTACGTAAGTTTGTCTGGATAGGCTTTTATACCTGATTGTGAGTATACACATAAATTTCATTTACTGCGTATACTGTAAATCTAAGTATGTTATTTTTATACGCATAAACGTTTAAAAATAACATATTTGACTGAAACTATTGTTTTTACATGTTTTTTCCCGATTTAGCTTACGTTATTTAAAATGTTTAATCGTGTTAAATTAACGCGTTAAATTACGACGTGTTAAGTTAACAGATCTAATTGTGTTAAATATCCGATTTAAACGGGAGTAAGACATGTGTAAGAAATATATAAGAAGAGCTTCAGCTAAAAAATTTGCAATGTAGGTGAAATTGAAGTGGCAGTTTCTGTTTGCAAGCGTGTTTGATTATGTTATTAGCGTTAGTTGATTTTTCGAGTTACTGAAGTTTTTCTCAAGCCATCTTCTAAAATTTTAAATAACAAATTTACGGTAAGTAATTTATTGGACAATACTATTTTATAATATAAGTTTTTGATTTTTTTAACTTTGGATTTTGTGCCAATTTTTATTCTCTGCCACCGAACTACGCAAAAAAATTGGCTTAAGTTCTGTAAATCGTTATATGTGAATTACTGGTCTTTTAACCGATACATATCTGAAATATCTTGTATCTTATTTGCTGTGAAATATTTCACAGAATACAATCGAAGCTACTAGTGACTGATTTGTCTTTATTTTTCTCGTTTGTTTGTTTAAAATGGTCGAAAAGGAAATGTCAGCGGATCTCTTTCTACATAATAAAAAATATGTAAGATTAAAGATGACATGGAAGAATATATATAATAAATGTACAAAATAATGTAATTCCAATGTTTCTATTTTATTTTTTGACGATTTCTTGATAGGTATCATAAATTGGTTTTAGGGCCTATTTTCTCGAGATGTCATTTCTCCAACTTTTTAGAAAATAGTTGATAATATACAATTTTTAAAAAACTACAATGCTTTTGGTAGAAAGTGTCGCTTTGTATCCATGTACATAAATTTTAATTTTATACCTTTAACAGAGTTTTATTATCAAAAAGAAAATGACCGGTCTTAGTGCTTTTCCTCTATGTTAATAACAATTGTTACAAAACAATGTAAGACTCCCATTCTGCAGTAATGTTTTGCGTTGCCGTGTTCAACGCGTCGGATACATAATACGAATGCAATACTTTCAGCGTCGCGGCAGAGCCTCCCTGAGGCATACTATTCGAGCACCGTTGAGGATCGCCGACAGCGTCGATCGTGGGACGTGAGCGAGTCACGATCGTGTCCTAAATTCTTGATTCGGGACAAAAGGAGAGGCAAGCAGGCAGGGAGAAGAAGGAGAGTTACGAAAGAGAGGAGAAGGGTCGCCGAATCGGTCAGCAATTTCGACGAAGTTGACCGTGCATCAACCGACGATCCGTTGTCGCTTGGCCAAATGTTCCCAGATGTGACCGTAAACAGGATGACGTTGCTGATGGTAGCCGTCGTCGGCTTGCCCATGCTAAGGCTCGCGCTTGCCGAGAGCTTCGATCTCCGTGGCGCCGCGTGCGGTACCAAACACTGCAGCCCTTCGGAGTTCTGCAGCCCTTACGATAAACATTGCAGACCTTGCTCGGATGCTTGCGACGCCAGCCAACGTAATTACCAGCCGGACGAGTGCATGAAGGACTGTCAAGGTGAGTCATTGATGTAAGAGAAATAAAGATCGTTGTGCGAGACACGATATGGCGGAGGCCGCTCTCGTTTGTGACGTGAGATAATCGAATCTTATCGTGTGAAATTCCTAACGCGGTCCCGGCTACTTAAACGTGACGCAATACTGAGAGAAAAATGTATGATATTTGGAACTATAATAGCATAATTAAAAAATTATAATTAAGAAATCCATTAATATAATATATGAACGTCACACACACACACGCGCGCGCGCGCGCGCAAATATATATATATATTTTTTTTTATAATTATGATATAGGCATAGACCAACTCATGTAAATTCTTTATCATGAATTATAATGATTTCAAGTAATTATAGAAAAGTAAATATAGAAATATAGAATGGTATATTGTAGGGATTGTAGAATGGAACATAGTAAATATAGAATGATAATGGAAATTGACCACTTTAAATATAATCAACATTCACTTATATAGTCAACAATCGTAATAAATAATAAATAATACTATGTGATAGTTATGTGATAATATTCTTAATACGTGTTCTTTTTACTATGTATATACACATATAGTATATACATATGTAGTACTGTATATACACATATAGTAATGATAATAAATGAAATAATAAAAGAAACAACAATTTCTGTAAAAACATGTGTGATTATACGAATTTTTATATTTGATTATATTTATAACTGATAAATTATTATAAATATAAGCTCATCCTGCCGCTTCCTGCGCATTCGTTCATAATATACTTTAATATTTTAATTGTTTACTTCTTGTAATATTAAATCGTATTGTTGAAAAGTTATGTAATGGCGCTATATACATAAGGACAATATATAAGATATCTATCAATTGATAAAGAATGGGCATAGTGCGTGAAGCAAGCGACTCACGACCCAGTAGTCTCGAATTCGGGAATCCCAATAGGAAAGTGTATTTTTTCCAATACGATATAATATTAAATGATTAATAAATAAAATTTCAGGTAAACTGTTTATTCACTAACATGTTAATAATAACACAGTGAAAAATAAATTATAAATTTCTATTAAAGAATATGAATACGTACACGGAAAAAAAGATATAGTTCACATAACCAGAAATATTTAGTTGTAAACAACATAGATGCATCACCCTATTCATCTTTATGTGATAGGTATGTGTACAATTGATATGGCTTATTATTTTGGTGTGTCAACTACATCAATATTGCGCGTGATCTGGTTGTGGCAATCAGAACTTGGTTGGGAAGATCATATTGCAAAGCAGCGATGTTAAAAAACAAAAATGACTTACTACTCTAGTAAACACAAGGATATAGGCATAATTGTTGAACTCACCGCTTATCATCATGGCGAAGCGAAAACACCGTGCACTAAACTGAATGGGTGACTGGCCTGAGAAAAACGTAGGAAATATAATAAAACAGCTTTCGTAGTTACCGCCAGGTGACTACAACTTATTTTATATTTGCATTTACTAGACATTTTATCTAAACCAATCAAATAGTGCAGTTGCTATTAAAACATTTGTAATTGAAATATCAAGAAAATCTGGTTGGAACAACTAAAGGTATCGTCACTGCTGCAAATCACTCATCAATTGCACTGTGGTTGCAGTAACCACATAATTAGTTGTTCCATATTTTCTTTTATATCTGGTTGGCACCACCCGATTTCTGCGTCGGTTAACCAGATTATCTTTCCCGTGTATGATTTTTTGTTGCAACTATAGTACGTGTTTATAGTACGTTTTACTCTCATTTTAATTTATGACAACTATAAAATATAATTACACAAATGAATGTCAGTTTTTATGACTATAAGTCCTAATTCACTTTGCTAATAGGTGAGTCATTGATGTAAGAGAAAGAAAGATCGTTGCGCGAGACACTATGCTTGCTATTTTGCATGGTTAAAAGAACTATAAACATATAGTTGAGGCCAAAATTAATTATAGAATATAGTGAGATTATAGTTACCCTAATTTTGTGCATTTTTTCTCTCAGTGAAACCTGAAAATGAAGTCGATCCATAACTTGTGTGAGAATCGTATCTAAAGTAGATTTTACGAGTTATGGACTTCTCTCATTCTTGCGCTGAACTCTTGAATCTCGTTGAACTGAGTCTGTTGTCTGAGCTGAGTCTGAGGGAAAATAAGACATCTTGCTAATTTCACTTTTAAACCTGAAGCGATTCTAAGTGCACACTAAGAAAGAAAAAATTAATCTTGCTAAAGTTCGGTGCATAGTTAGTTTTTTAGTTACTTTTATTAACCTAAATTTTATTTATATATGTGTACAATAATATATTATAAAAAATAATAATATCACTCCTCACTTCCTCGATGTAGATGACATTTCTTCACTATTTTTATTTTTTACTCTTAACTTTTTTAGATATATAACATTATCATCGTTATTTGTAACCTCTTTCTAACGGAACATGTAAATTACACAAATTCTGAGAATATTCGGAGAATATTTCGATATTCTCTGAGCTTTTTCAGAATATATATATTCCGTTAGAGTAATTTGTACAATTCAGGATGATTGTCTTCCTATTTATCCCAAAATTGTAATAGATTACTTCTTCTATTAAACCTCTTCAATATCATATATTTGAAGTTTATTTTCTATTTATCTATTTATCATTCTATTTATTCAATATCATATGCTTACAGTTTATTTTCTATTTATCGCGATAACTAATCAATATTCTGCTTTTTCGTGAGAAATAGAATTTTATTATGAAAGGAAAAAACGATTATTTAAAACTACAAAATAAAAACCGGAAAGAACCGCAAACCGAAACAAAATGTAACGGTTCCGATTTCGGTTCCGATTTCGGTTTTGTAGGCTTTATACAATTTCGGTACGGTTTACGGTTTTGATCCGACAAAAATACCGGTTTTCAAACGTTTTCAGTCTTCGGTTTCGGTTCGATCTGGGTCTCTGCTGAGAATTGTCGAGTGAACATTTTCATTCGAAATTGAAAAGTAAATTTGATATGTTCCACCATTGCATTATAGCATTGAGAAAAATGTCACTAAAATTATAATCGTCGGCCTCAACTATATTTTCTTTTGATTTTAATGCAAGAAATAGTAGAGTAGCAATATGCATGTATGGTTATTATCATTGATATTATAGCGATATTTACTAGAAAAATGTTTTTCTTGATTGTAATCCTTTCACTTAAATGATTATAGTTACAAATATCAAAAATTTTTTTCTTAGTGAGGAATAAACAGAAGGAATAAACAGAAACATTTACTCGTATGGAATCAAAATTTGCGCTCTAAGTTTGAAATATCCTTTCGATTTCAAATATGACAATATTTCCACTATTACTTCGAGCAAATTTTTGAGTGAAATATCACTCCAAAAAATTTAGAAAGAATTATTCACTACAAAAAAGTTTTCTTGACTATAATTATTTCGCTAGTAGTAAATATAGTCATAAATATCAAGCTGTTACAAATATCAAGCAGCTTATGACCAAGAATTACTTGTAATTTACAATTTCGACTGAGGATGATCGCAATATATAGTTGGAACATTCCGATAAGAAATTATTTGTAGCTGCGTGTGTAAAGTATATTGTAAAGACGTACAAAAGTTATGTCAGCAATCGGTTCTTATCTTATCGACTCTTTTGTTCTTATAATAAATATCAAACATTCTTCTTTCCGTACAGGTAGCCAAATTTAACTCGCTTTTTCCTCAACTTGCATCTCGCGAATTCATATTTATTATTTGGATGTCTTTATGCGAGGTCGGTCACGTGTCGCGATGCACCGTCCTGGTTCCGTGTTTTCACGCGAGTCGTACGGGAAACCGGATAGTATGATGCCATCGTCCACCTCCATCGAGTGTAGCGACAAGTGAACGAGCGAGCAAACGAACCAACACGGGCTCTCCTCTCTTTCTCTCAAGTCCGTTGACTTTGCACTTGACTGTCCCTACCGCCTTCCCACACGCAAACGCAGTCGATGAGTCATCCAGCTTCTTTTCTTTCTCCTTCTCCCTATCCTTTTCCTCTCTTCAACTTTTTCAAGCCCCTCCTTTTTTCCCCGCTTCTTCGATATTCTTTTTTTCTTCTTTTTTTCTGTTCCCGCTTGACATTCAACGCTAGTACCGCGCACGAGAGGCGAGAAGGGAAGGAATTTCATGCTCCGACAGGTAAGAGAAACCGCGAACCGTTCTCTTCGCTCCGAGAGACGCGCGAATAATGAAAATCCGTCTCTCTCCCTACCGACAAAGCAGATACCTCTCTGGATGACGAGGTCCTAACGTAGCCGCTGCGGAATTGTCCGTGCGAAGTTCCGTTGGGCCCACATATTTCCACGGGTCTCTATTGAGTCTCCTTGTCGTGGTGTCTGGTTACGTTTTGTCGATAAACTTCGATCAGGTTTATATACAAATTCTATGTCAGGGACTTGTTGACTCTGTGAGCTCGCGAAAGTTTTAATGACAAAAAAATTCTGATGGGCCAATGAACGAAACGAAATAGGAATTATTTCGGAACAAACAGTTCTTTTCCTGCAAGTACGAGAGCAGATTGAAAAGTTTTTAGAATGAAAACAAAATAAATTTAATTCAAATTATATTTTATTTTTCAATATGATCCTTACGAAGCTCAACACATTTGGTTCAACGTTTCTCCAGCTTTTTGATTCCTTCCCGGAAGTGGTCGAGGTACCAGGTGTCCAAAATAATTGTTTACAATGTCTATCAACTCTTCATTTGACCGAAATTTCTTACTACACAGGAATGTTTTGAGTTTCGAGAACAAGTGGAAGTCTAAAAGAGCTAAATCAAGCGAATACGGTGAATGTGGAAGGATTTCGAATACAATTCTGTCAATTTTTGCTGAGCGATTGCATTTCAATGAGCAGATCCGTTGTCGTGGTGAAACAATACTTTTTTCTTGACCATTCCCGAGCGTTTTTCCTGAATTGCTGTTTTCAGTTTGTTTAAAAGTATTGTGTAATATTAGCCAGTAGTAACAGTTTTTCCTTTTTCAAGATAATCAATTAGCAAAATTTCTCTAGTAAAAACCGATGCCATCACTTTTCTAGCTAATTGAATGGTCTTTGCCTTCTTCGGAATTGATTCACTATGTTTAATGTTATTTTAATCCACTATTTTTATTGCACTTTTATTTCTGGTGAATCCAGGTCTTAACCTGATCACGAATCGTCTTTTGAAATTTATTAGATTCCTCTTAAACATTTCCAAACAATCGGCTGAAGTTCGGACTCTAACACGTTTTTGAGCTCCGGATTGAGCAAATGCGTCACCCATCTTGCATTTTTTAAATCCAATTCATTATGTAAAATATAAAAGACTACTCATTAATAAGATATGCCCCCTTCCTCAATTTCACATACTTTTATTCAGCAATCTTCCAAAACTATGTCGTGAATTTTATCTACAATTTCTGGTGTAATAACCGTTTTTAGACGTTCTGAACGTGGTTCGTTACTTGTGTGCGTGCGGCCACGCTTGAGTTCCGAAACCCAAAATCTCACGATGGAAAATAAAGGTGGTGGATCTCCAAGAACAACACCTAACCTGGATTTGATTTCCGTTGCGGTTTTTTCCTTTAAATGAAAAAATTTGATCACCACTCGAATTTCATTTTTATTTATAACTGAAAACACACAAAATTGCTTGACTTGAATGCTTGTCAAAACTAGATTATTTGACAGACCGATTTGGCATTTGCAGTCAATTCATCTGAAAGAGTTGACAACGATATAAAAATAGTTGGAGAAGATCAACCTCCTAACGGATTCCGGAAACTTTTCAATCTACTTACATAAAGCGACCGAAGAATATAGGACGACAATATAGGACGATAAACTACTTTAACTAAATAATTCTCGAAATAAAACAATAAAGTTTGCCGGCTGTGTGGTAAAACGGGGTTTATTCACTCTTACAATTGCGTCTCAAAATCTTTAATTCAGTATGTCTTTCGAATGCTCTCTAAATTTCTAAGGTGAAATCTCACTCGAAAAGTAGAGTGACCACCAAATCATTCGAATTCGAGTGGCTCTTTGCTTATTTAGAGCGAATTCTGCATTCTAAATCGTCGAAAGAGTGTATATCTTCACCTGAAATTGAAATGTGAATCTTCTCCACCATCACGGTACAGCATATTCACTCCAATCGATTAAAACATTCACTTATATATGGAGAAATATAATTTAGAGAGATATTTCAAGTGAAATTTTACTGCAAGAAATTAAAAAAAATAATTTTCTTCGCTATTCGGCTGCTCGCGAATTTTTATCCGTCATCATTGTTATCGCGAATGGGTTCTCCCGAATCGATATGCGCGCGACCTCGTCGTCCCAAGTCTGGGTTTAACATTTTGCCCCTTTCGTCGTCTTGAACGGGGTCATCTCGAATTTATAGTCATTCCACAGCACACGATTACACGAGCTCACGTGCCGACCGCTTTACAGGTAGGCATCCGTCGTAGGTCGGAATTGTTTGTACTGCGTGTTGCTATCGCGACCGAGTTCTCCGTAGTTCGCCTACGCAGGCACACCAGGATCTACCTGCACTTTCTGACAGGTAGATCGTTGACTCGAATAAGAAGAAATGGAAAGCGCTAAAGAGGATGTGCACCCGATTACAGGCGAATCGATTGCACGTAAGCCGAATTGATTTTACGCAGTATAATTTTCCTTAGAAAATACAGACTTGGAAGAAGGAAGTCAATAAGAAGTGAATATTTTGACATAGTGGTGAACTTAGAACATTTCCAGTGAAACATTTTGCAGTTAGCAAAATAAAGTTGTAAAAAATGTACAAACACAGAAGATATAATTATCTTCTTTCGTATAATTCGTATTTATTGTTTTATAATTCGTATACATTTTTATTTTTTATTTTCATATACATATTTATTATTTTATAATTCGTATACATTTGTCTGATGCAAAGCGTGCCCACTGTTAATATAAACAAAAAGTCTTCTATAATTTGACAAACAACATGCAAACTTTTGAGTTATTAATTACTGAAAATGATGAATGTATAGATGTTTCTTTAATTAATAAATAAAAAATTTTTACATTATTTGCAAAATGGTACAGGACATTTTTTGTTCAGAGTGGTCTAATTTACAAGTATATGATATCTGTTGTCTTTAGCGACAGACATCAATATATTGAATCTTGAACCTCGAACCTTGAACATGTCGGTAGATACAACAATTATATATTAGAATTATATATTAGAAGGTTGCATTGAAAACCGCTGTTTTTTGTGTGTTTTGAGTATTTATTTCAATAACAAAGTATGTGAATACATCAATCAATATATTTATCTTCGGAAGTTATGACTTTTTCTCACTTTTCTGGCAGAAGTTGAATTCAGCGACGAAAGAACGGCCTTTTGAGTCAATCCATTCAACAACTCAATTTTCGACTTCTCCGTAATTATGGAAGTGTGTATCTTCCACAGCGTGTTGCATCGACCGGAACACATGGTAATCGCTTGGGGCTAAGTTCGAAGAATACGCTGGGTTCGGGAGAACTTCTCACTCGAGCTCCATCAGTGTTTGTTTCACAGTTATAGCAACATGCCGAGCGTTGGTCATGGAGGAGCATCACTTTTCGGCGATTTGATGCAGATAATTATCATTTTTACATCAAATTATCATTCAAACGCTCCAAATGTTGTCGATAACATTCGGCGTGACTGTTTCGTTCGGTTTCAACAGCTCATAATATACGACACCCTACAAATCCCACCAAATAAGGAGTATTGCTTTGTGTCCGTGGATATTTTGCTTTAAAGTCAATGTTGGTGATTGGCCAGGATCAACCTATGATTTTTTTGCGTTTCGGGTTGTCGAAATAGATCCATTTCTCATCATCGGTCACAATAGTTGTCATATACTTGTAGATTAGATTATTTGGAACAAAAAAATTCATCATTTTGCAAATAATACGCAAATTTTTGAATTATTAATTAAAGTCTCTATACATGACCGTTATCAATTATTGATAATTCGAAATTTTGCGTGTTATTTGTAAAATGGTATAGGACTTTTCTACTCAGTTTCATTTGTTCTTCTACTTCTACTTTCACACCACAGGAATGAAAAATAAGTTTAAGACACCCTGTATACAATGTTATATCTTATAATATTGTAAATAGTAATTTTGTATTTCCTTTTTTTAAACGATTTTTCCTCTTAAAATAAGTAAATAAGTAAACAATTAAGCATGTGTATGAACACATTGTCGGTTGTATTTTAATAATATGTCTCTTCGTGCTATATATTCTGCATTAATATTAAAGGACTATATTTTCCTAGTCTGTCTTCTTATCGATAAGTTATACATCGGTATATCAATCGACACATTAATGTAATCAGTAAAATATTGTTGAACAGAGAAGATTGTTCCGGCTTATGGCGTAATTGGCTCGGCTTCCTGAACCCTCCCGTTGATCGAACAAAAGCCGAGAATAGTCGAGTTTCCCTTTAATGCAACTAGTGCATGATAGCGTAATAGTCACGGTTGGAGAAATCTCGTAGAGTTTTGTAGCGTCGTTAAATCCATATGTTTCTTTCGCGTAACACTTTTTTCTACATCAATGTCCGACAAGCTCTAAGCATTAATGAAACGTATGTCACGTTGATGTCAACGCTCCTCGAAGTTGCACGTGGAAAGAAAGAAAAGGAAAGAGAGAGAGAGAGAGAACCCGTGATCGATCGATTAATCGACCGTTTCTTTTTTGATTTCAGTTTACTTGCACGATCTACGCTACGTCCTTCGCGCCGATATAAAACAATATAATGATCTCAGAGGTGAGTAGGTCCAGATGTGAATAAAGATGCGCATAATTTTAGAGGTATCGCGCGTACGAGATTTCTCTTGTGCGAACTGGAGATTTCAACGACGTGAATTTGGCATAGGCATCACTCGTACTCGCAATTTTCGCGCGATCATTGTCGCAATATGTTGCTTTCACGACGCTGAGACTGCGGATATTTTAATAGTAGAATAAATATTTAATATTTAATATTAGTTCTCACTAAATATTAGTATATTAAAATAAATTATATTTAATATTTAATAATAAACACGCATATTATAGTATAATATAATATAATATAATATAGTATAATATAATATAGTATAATATAATATAATATAATTTGAAATTTTATAATACGGAGAAGAGAAAAGAGTATATGTGGTGCTAATGGTAGTATAACATAGAAATTATTTTCTTTAAATAATTTCGGAAAATACTTAGATCTTCATATTTTAACGTTACGTCTTACGTATTTGCTAATTTACGTAATCTGTAATTAGACAGTCGACCGTGTACGCATTTTGTTCGTATTGATATATAGAATGGCTTCTCTCATCTGTTAGAAGCGATATCGAAATACGCAATTTAAGCAACTTTCTCTTTCAAGGTTTGAGCGAGTATTAGAAATGCCTGCGCGTATTCGAAATCAGCGGGACGAAGCATTACATAAAGGCGATTGATATCTCGGTGTTAATTAAAACGCGCTTTCTCTTAAATTCGTCTATTTTCTCTTTCAATCCGTAAATATTTGTAATCAAATCGCGCCGGGATTTATAATGGTTGATTTAATATGATATGCAGCTCGTAATAACTTTGACCATTGGAATTTATGTACATTAGGAGTGTCCCGAGGGGATTTTTGTCTAGATGACGAAATTTTTAAGCGAATTTTCACATTTTTTTATTTAAGCTAGACTTACAAATATAAGGTTTGATATACATATTTTGTTATATTTAAATAACATTTATAAATTTTTGTAAACTTCTATATTTCACAATTTAAGTATTATAAGCAATTTCATATATTCTTTGTTCCATAACGGTTAACACGATTGCAGCTCTTCAGTTTATCTGAAACACAAAAACTAAGGAAATTTTTAATCTATATGAATATACGTAGGTGTTATCTGAGCCAAAATAAACAAAAAAGATTAAGATTTAACAAAATGGTAAATGGGCAATACTTCCAAACGAAAAATTTGATGAAAAAATTATATTTTATGTTTTAAAATATCGCCACTTGTTGGCTAAATCTTTTTTGTTTAATTTAATTCAGGTGATAGCTATATATTCATGTAGATTAAAAATCCCTTCAGTTTTTGTATTTTAGGTAAACTGTAAAGCTG